GACCACCGGAGGGTGCTGTCAGCTTACAGTCTGAATGCCAACAGGTGCTGCTTCTCGACTCCGTCCTGGGGCTGAGTGAGCCGCTGCCACCTTCCAGGACACCCTCCTGTTCTCCCTTCTGACCACCTCTGCCATGTGACTGTGACTTCTGCAGATAGCTTCTGCTGGTTCCAGGTTCTCAGGGTCACAGTTTGAGTAATTGGAGATTTGAAGGTTTTTTGTTCATTTGTGTGGTTTTGTTGTTATTCTTGAATGGTTTCCAGGAACATAAGTGAAAGGAGCCCAGACCAAGTGATGTCATGTGCTTCTCTGTGAATGTTTTAGATTTACCTACCACATTTTTTTTTATTTTCAGAAGTGCTATCAGTTTTATATCTGCTCAATCCTTTTTATAGTAATTACTCCTTTACTCATAATTGAGATCCCTCCCTTTTAAAAAATACTTTATAGTACTCACTTTATAATGTTTCTATTAATTCTGAGATCTGAAATCTTTCAAGTTTTATTGTACTCTAACTCATGGTGCCACATTTTCTTGTGGGTTCTGAAACGTTTGGGTGTGCCGCTTATTCTGTGGAGTGTGGTCTGTTGGGTTCTTTGCAGCCCAGGTTGAAGGTGGGTCCCTTTGGGGATCTGAGCTTTCCTGGCCAGGTGCCAAGGGCCACCACCTCCCCAGGACCATATGGAAGTTAATGGCTTGAGGTTTTTCAGACCATCTAAGCAGTACGAATCTGGGCTACAAGCCAGTATGAGGGTCAGCTACTGGCTGCAAATTCTCATGAGATACTCTCTGGATTTCTCCTTTCTTGGTGGTATACTGATGCATTTATGAAGATTTTTAACAAATTTCATCCAAAATTTTAAACTGTTTTCAAAGGGAGAGTCAGTTAAGGTATCAATTCCATCCCATTACCAGAAGCAGAAGTATCAGACACTCCTTGTAAACCTTAAGTTCTTCCTCATCCTCTTTCCAAACACAGGGTAGTAGTTTCCATTTTGCCTGTTAACAATTTAGTTAGCCAGAATTGGGTCCATTGTAATGCTAATAAAATAATAACAATAGTGACAGCTATTAATAATACTGACTCATGCTGATAACCTGCAGATAATAAATACTATGCTTTACTTATTGGAACTGGCAAAACTAAGACAGCAAAGCATCATGCAATGTAGTTTTGAAATAAATTCTTCACTTTCACAGTTCCAGTACGTACCCCTGGGTATTTTGTATCCAGTCTCCCCTGGTTTTCTGAGGTTCCTTAGGATATGATCTGAATGGATGTTTATGAGCATGCCCACCAACCACAAGACAAAACCTAAAGAAAAAAAAAACAAGATTATTATGGTTAATGAACTACGACCTTTAAACCCAAGGCTGACTGAATGGTGTTAATGTGCCCTTCATGGTATCATTACTGGTGCAACATGTTAGCTGCAACTGGTACAAAAGTCATTAAGCACTGCTGTCAGGTATGCTAAATAGGGCTTTGTTGTTCTAACACTAATAAGTGACCAAAGCCACTTAAAATACTGGGACC